CCACGAAAGCTTATGCTCCCAGTACTTCTGTTAGTCTCCAAGGTGCCACAGGACCCTCTGTTGCTTTAAATAAAAGGAAGTTCTTCTTCACTCAGCACACAGTCAACTTGTGGAACTCCTTGCCTGAGGAGGTTGTGAAGGCTAGGACTATAACAGGGTTTAAAAGAGAACTAGATAAATTCATGGAGGTTAAGTCCACTAATGACTATTAGCCAGGATGGGTAAGGAATGGTGTCCCTAGCCTCTGTTGTCAGAGGGTGGTGATGGACGGCAGGGGCATCTGGCATTGGCCACTGTAGGTAGACAGGATACTGGGCTGGATGGACCTTTGGTCTGACCCAGTACAGCCATTCTTATGTTCTTCCAGGCTGAGCAAACATTTATGTCTCTGACCTAAACATACTAAGTGACATTTCAGCACAATGCCTTTCACTTGGCTTGCAAATCCAACTTGACAGTCTCTCCATTCAGGCAAATCACTTTGGACAGCTTTAATACAAAAAAGGCTGAGTCACCCCATTTAGTGACATCCATTTGTAACTCTTTGCAGGCAGCTTTTGATTTAACTATCATGTTCATTTATGTGTCTGATAATTCTGTTCTTTACCATAGTTTAAACCAATTTGCCAGATACTGAAGTTAGGCTTACCAGCCTATAATTTCCAGGATCACCTCTGGATCCCCCTTTTTAAAAATCAGTGTTACATTAGGAATCCACCTGTCATCCAATACAAGGGTGATTTAAGCAATAGGTTACATACCACAGTTAGTAGTTTTGCAATTTCATGATTCCTTCAGAACTTTTGGGTGAATACTGTCTGATCCTGGTGATATATTACTGTTCAATTTATCAATTTGTTCCAAAACCCCTCTACTGTCACCTCAATCTGGAACAGTTCCTCAAATTTGTCACCTAAGAAGAAAGGCTTAGGTGTGGGAATCTCCCTCATATCCTCTGCACTGAAGTCTGATGCAAAGAATTCATTTAACTTCTCTGCAATGGCCTGGTCTTCCTTGAGAGCTCCTTTAGCACCTTGATCATCCAGTGGCCTCACGGATCATTTGGCAGGCTTCCTGCTTCTGATGTACTTTAAAAAATGGTTAGTTTGTGAGTCTTTAGATAGTTGCTCTTCAAATTCTTTCTTTGCCTGCCTTATTATCTTTTTACACTTGATTTGCCAGAGTTTATGTTCCTTTCTGTTTTTCTCAGTAGGATTTGACTTCCAATTTTTAAAGGATGCTTTCTTGCTTCTAACGGCCTCATTTACTCTGCTGTTTAGCCCTGGTGGCATTTTTTTGGTTCTTTCACTTTTTTTTTATTTGGGGTAAATAGTTTGAGCCTCCATTATGGTGTTTTCAAATAGTCTCCAAGCAGTTAGCAGGCATTTCACCCTTGTGACTATTCCTTTTAGTTTCCATTTAACATAGCTTCCTCATTTTTGTGTCATTCCCCTTTTTGAAATTAAATGCCCCTGTGGTGGATTTATCTGGCATTTTCCCCCTACAAGGATGTTAAAATGTATTACATTATGGTTGCTGTTACGAAGCAGGTCAGCTATATTCGCCTCATGGATCAGATCCTGTGTATCACTTAGGACTAAATCAATAATTGCCTCTCCCCTTGTGGATTTCAGGACAAGCTGCTCTAATAACCAGTTATTTATGGTGTCTAGAAATTTTATCTCTGCATCCCTTCCTAAGGTGACATATATCCAGGTCTCCAGAGTGCCAATCTAGTGCTATAACACTAGATCATCCTTCCTCTCAACACAGGAAGCTAAAGCAATTAGCTATTTATCACACTGACTTAGGAAAAAAGGCAGGTTTAAGAGTGTTGTAATGGTTTTAATATCTAGAAAGTATTTATTTAGATTTAAATAAAAAGAAAAATGACACCTAAGGTCTAGCACCCTGACATGTAATTAAGCATATAATAAAACCTCAGTACCAAAAATAATAATTTCAAACATGAACTCAACCAGTCAGCCACCTACAAAAATCTCCTTGTCGCCCCTTCATTGTTCTAAGACACATACCCTCAACTCTGCCCCCAAACCTTCTTGAACAGATGTCAAACAGAACTACAATATCTCCACTGCCCACTCTTTACCTGGTGTAAAAATACTCTCCACTGAGGAAGCCAGTCAAGGCAGTTGCTGTATCTCATGATATGTTTTGAAATGTCCAATAAGAATTGCTATAACAGATTCTTGCATTGAGAACTGGACGGGTGCCCTGTGGACGAAGTGACAGGAAGGTATTGCACAAGAGTTGCAGTGTTTTCAGATGGGATCCATATAGTCACATTGTGGGGACAACCAACCCCTAATACTGCAGCCTGGTCACTCACAACATAGGCCTGTAATTCCTATTAATCTTTAAAGAAGCTGTGTATGTATTAAGGGAAGAACACACCCTAGCAATATTCAGTATGACTATCATTCTAACTCTAGCAAAGACAACAAACTTTGCTCATGTGTCTCTGTCCTTGCAGCTGAAATCTAAAATTAACAGATTTCTTAGCTACTAGATTACATTTTACTCTGATCTTGCTGCAATTCGTTTTAGATTGCTGATTCTATATAATATGCACTATTGATTCTGAAAAGAGAAAAAGATAATGAAAAGAAAAATGTTACTATAGTGCTACCATAGTCTACTATCTGTCATGTTGCAATACAAACTCAAAGTACATGAAAAAAAAATAGCTGGAGCTTCTTGCTATTTGATTCTGCAATCCATAATATAACTTTGAAAAATCCACATTTTTACCTAAAGGAAAAAATGACTATGCAATTCTCAAACAAAACAAACAAATAAAGGAAAAATATTTAAATCTGTTACAAAGAAAATATGATCAACTGTTGATTATCTCAGAATAATAGGTACCGATAAAACTGATCTTTGTCTACTCTTTGATCTCTAACATAATGGAAAAGAAGGTTCATCTTTGTTCCATGTTAGTCAACTCACTGGAAAATATTTAAGAAATTAACCCTTTCCATTCAGGTATGTTGTGCTATAGGTTAAGTGAATAGTGTAGTGAAAGGTAAAGGATGTTACTATGGTTGCAAAAACAAACATCATCTATAGAAATATGCCTGGAGACAATAAAAGAATTAAAAGAAACGGTACAAATTTCTACGTGCATTAGAGAAAGAACTAAACTATTTGAGGAAAGATGGGCCAGATAGAACAAAATGATTTAAAAACCCCATGGATATAACAATATGTATACATATGGTAACTTACAGCTCATACGTCCTCAGCTCTGCTCTGTTCCTTATCTTTTATATCTGTCACTCTCTCTTTGAATACTTATGTAAGAGGTTAACTCCTACAATCAACAATTATGTTTATCTTTAATAAAAAGTTAGTCACTAAAGGCCAGATCCTCAACTGGTGTATATCAGCTCCATTGGAATGCCAATAGCTCCATTTGCAATGGAGTTATGCTGCTTTATCCTTGGTGAGGATATGACCCTAAACACATCACTCATAAGCTGAGATGTAAAGGAAGTTGAAATACTCCTTTGACTGCCCAATATCATTTTTGGTAAAAGTCGTGTCCACATAAAGTCAGATACAAAAATAAGATTTATAGTAGCCTTCATTTTTAAACATGAAAACTCTGGCAAGTAACCACTATAACCTTTGACATAATACCTTGCATCCTGTTACTGTTTTTATGAATCGGTCTGCCATTTGATTCAAAGTGATTACTGCCAACAAAGCAGTGATGTTGTCTTGTGTTAATATCCATGCTGGAAAATTAGCATCACACATTTAGTAATTGTCTCTCCTAAACCAGGCACCTCTCAGTACATGGGTATAGTAAATGCTATTCTAATACTGACTTAGAGCTATTATTCAGGTGATCTTCATATATCTACTGTAGTTATGAAAAACAAAGGCAATCAGAACTCACTTACATTTTTGCCAGTGCATATTCTGTGGCAGAACGGAGTCTTTTCTCTTTGAAGAAGATAGTGTGGCTTTTTAATCGCTAACTGTGTTTTACTCCTTTACAAGTGATGTGATAACTGGCTGTCAGAATGTTTCCTTCAGCTTTTTAAAAGCCCTAAGTTCCCGCTGAGCAACGTGATGTCATCACATCCTCCAACCACAAATACTTTATATTTTCCTTTGCTATGTTTTGTTCTTCGCCACATTATGCAGTTTCTCCAAGGCTAGAGTGCGCTGGAAGATATTATGCATAAAAGACATGTTAGATCACCTAAACATTTTTTAAACAAACATTAAGGTCCGGAACCTATATTCAATAGGAGTTTTGCCTGAGCGAGGTCTGCAAGATTGGCCCATAAGATTCTAAAGCAGAAACACACAAGCATCTTTTAATATGTTTTTTTGATCTGTTGTGTTTAGAGGAGCATATGTCTGGCCAGACTTCAGCTGGTCTAAATCTGCATGGCTCCATTGACTTCAACAGACCTGCACTGGTTTACACCAGAGGCGGATCTGGCCCTTTAGTGCTCAACTGTTTTAAAATACAAGCCTGAGCTCAGTGTTTTCTCCTGCCTTCCGAGAATCAACTCCCTGGGGTCACTAAATCTGAACTCATGAGGAAACACCTGTAAACACTTCAAGCCTCATTAAACGACGACATCCTTCATTTAAAAAAGAAACCCTGTTTTTTCTGTTTTGTTTTTGTTGAAATACATCATTTCCTATGAAAAAAGAGATGGCCACAGAAATGAGTTCCTGATGACCCTAAGTGAGTTGGGATCCTGACAGCTAGTCTGGGGCCCAATCCTGGAATGTGATGCATGAGCTCAATGGAATTAGGAAGGTGGGCACCTCACAGAATCAGGCCCCTATTTTGTACCATTTTACAAGTGTAGAATTGGTTTTAAATTTAACAAGAAAAGAGGATTCAATCACATGCAGATTATAAGTTAATATATGTCTATCTCTTTAAAACATTTTCTCTAAGACCTCTCAGTATTAAAAAAAATAAAGACTATCTGCTTAATGCAGAAGTAGGATCCACCTCGTCTGCTGTCTCCGAGAGTCCTGATGGTATTCTTTAGCCACATTTTGCATAGCTATATTAGTGTTCACTAGCAATCATGCAGTGTAATATCCTCTTTACTGTTAATGCTTAGTAACAGTAGGCATTCAGTTAGCTAACACTGCATAGATAGACATATAAGATAGGGCCTGGTCCAAAGCTCATTGAAGTCAATGAAAAACAACGAGGAGTACTTGCAGCACCTTAGAGACTAACAAATGTATTTGGGCATAAGCTTTCGTGGGCTAAAACCCACTTCATCAGATGTATGTAGCGGAAAATACAGTAGGCAGATATATATACACAGTACATGAAAAGATGGGAGTCTTGCTCTAAATTTCAATGGGGTTTTGATTAGGCCCATAGTCAGAAAAATTCCCACTCTCTGTTATGTTTCTGTCACCAAAAAAAGGAGGCAATTTCCCCCTTCAACTAATGGAAGTTTGTAGATCATTGTAACAGCACTTAACTCTGTAATTTGCATCAAAATATATGTTGACAACAACAGTCGCCACTTCTTTAACAAGTCAGGCAATTTCAAAACGTGGGCCAGATTTTTCCCGCACGAGCCAACAGGAGTTCTGTTTAATACCCGATGGTATAATATGGTCTCAAGAAGTTGCGAGGCGAAGCCAGCTGCAGTTTTGCTTGAGTAAGGAACCAGTCTGAACAACAGTAAAAAAAAAATCAGAGTACGGTACTTTAAGAAACATATTCTTGACCAGTCCCTCTAAAGAAATTGCATTCTGATATGGTATTACTGCTTTAAATGTCATGGTAAATATGGTCATATGCAGGTCCCTTTCAAGGAGTAAATCAAGGAGCATATACGGCCCACATTTTCAAAAGTATGCACTTAAGATGTCCATGCACATTTGCACACACCCAAGTTATTCATGCAAAATCTATTGTGCATGACTGATTCTGAGATTTGCAGTCTTATGTGCCTATGCAACTTGCACAAGTATATTGGATAGTACATATGTGCAAATTATATATATTATGTACATACTCAAAGTTCATACATAGATACAGATACAGATATCATCTAATTATAAAATCTCATTGAACTAAATCACCCAAAATTAAATGTTTTAAAAACATCTTTCTATCAATACTTTAAATATCTGAAATTGTACAGTTAAAGCCTTGTTGTAGTAAATATCTAAAATGAGGAAGTTGCAAAGGGCATGTTATCCACAGATAAAAACAGCCCAAACTATTTTGGTGTTTGATAGTCAGTCATCCATTTCCATGTTTTAACACACAGTTATAAGATAAGCCTTTGGTGTATTACCAAAGAGCCACTCCTCAAAACACAGCTTCACACATTTTAACAGAGAATTTATTTTAGTTTGATGGAAAAATACATTACAAAGCAAAATAAAGAGTCTGCCAATTTACTGCTCTTAATAATTATAGCTTTGTTTCATGTTGAATATTTTACTCAGTGTTTGATATAGAGTGGGCTTGGATAAGGACTAGTTAACTGACCAGATAAAATTAAAGTAATACAGATTGCATGAGGGAAGCAACCAGAAAATATGGCAAAGGTTACATCTTCCACTTTAACGGAAGACATGGGCCTACTGTTACCTATTCACGTTCACAGCAGCAATGACCCTGAAGGCAGGGTCATTTCTTTTGGATGTACACCTTGCTCTCTTGAGCCTGGCCTTTGTCTGCTCAAGTTAAGACTACTGCAATGAGCTCCACATGGAGCCACACCTTAAAATCACCCAAAAAATTAAAGTTGGTGGCTCACTTGCAAAGTGGAGTTTCTCATTCTGCGGATGGGTACCGCTTTGAGTCACATATCCAGAGACTGAAAGGTTTACAAGCAACACAGTATTTAGATATTATAGCCACAAAGCAGCCCAAACAATAATCAAATGCATATATTAGCTTAATAATGTATCATATACAGGGCTGGTGCAACCCATTAGGCGACCTAGGCGGTCGCCTAGGGCACTACAATTTGGGGGGCGGCGACCACGGCGGTATTTCGGCGGCGGGACCTTCCGCTGCCTCTGTGGGGGGTGGCATTTCGGGGTGGGACCTTCCGCCACCTAGGGCGGCAGAAAAGCTGGCGGCACTCCTGATCATATACAGTGCAAGAATACCACTTTCCAATGGGCTGAGAATTCCATTCTTCCACATATTTAATTGCTCAGTGCACACCAAGAACCTATCACAGGCTTGCAAACAGCTCCATCTGGGCAGTTCCTTAGACCTGTTCAGAGCCTTTTTGACTTCAGTGGGGCCCAGGGATACAACTACACAGATCTGATATGCCTCAGCTTCAAAGATCCCAGCCAAAGGTGTACAGAGGGAGTACCTGAGTGCACAGAGAATGCGATGGTGCAGGGGAATAACGGGGAGAGAAGAAGGATGTACCCCCACTGTCTGGAAGCTCCATTTGCCAAGACACAAAGTCTTTGATATGACCAGGACTCCAATATTCCATTGCTATGTCTGTGGACAACACAAGAACAATGTCAGTGCTTTGCCACAATTAGTTCTGAATGGCTGGGCTGCGATCCCATAAAACTTCATACAGTATCCCCAATTCTAAAATTACCACTATGCCAATGATTTTAAAATAAATTTAAACAAAAATCATATAAGCAAGATAAAATGACTTGAGAGGAGGCAGCTGTGCAGTGATCTCAGACCAAAACACATCAGGAAATATGTACCCATAGCCTAGACTCCTGCTAGACTGCTACTGCAACAGGTGCCAAGAAGAGAGAAAAACAAGAGGAACCAAAAAACCAGAGCTGTACATACTGTGCCAGTGCAGTATACAGCAAAACAGCCATGTGAAAATGTTGGCTAGCCAAACATTAGAGAAACACGGGGATATGCTGTGTTCAGCTTTTGTTCTGCCCTTTGAACCTGAGCATTATTCCAAAGATGATGAAGAAGTAAATGCAAAATCATGCTTTAATTATTGTCGTATTCCCTGGAAGACAGCTGAGTTCATTAATCCATTTCTGAAAGAAAATTGCCAGTGTTTTTGAGAGATGTCCAGGTTTTTTAAATCATGTCAGTGTTAGCACTCTAACCCGGAAGCACTATGCAAAGAGTATGAATGCAAAAATAGTAGTTTAAGATTTCAGAAAATCTTGTGGGCTAAAAAACACAAACAGCTGTCTCCTAGGGTATGATAACTAATTTAATAAAGGAATATCTACTTATTAGGTGGGGTGAGTATTTTAAGGACTGCTACACTTATAAAAGGTCATTTCACATAATTCTTTTCATCAGTCATATGTCAATGACAAATTGAGCCTACTTCAAAAAAAATAAATGCAGAAATCTGATTGAACAATAATAGGCATTTCAGATGGCATATTCTATTATTTATGTGTCTATTATTTCTATTACTGTAGCACCTCTATGCTTTGTACATAATACCGTAAGAGACAACCCAGGCTCCAGAGAGCTTGTAATCAAAATAGACTGCACCCATTTAATAGAAGCGGAATCAAAGCACCGAGAAATGAAGCACAGACAAATGAAGCAAACCCAGATTTCTGGAATCCCAGACCAGAGCCACCAGGCAATCCTCCCTCTCAGTCACCTTCGGCAGGTGTATGCATAATCACTAGAGCCAATGGAGCCTCACAGACAGGTGAAGGGAAATCTGGTTCACCGGTAGCCAAGAGCTATTGTGAGTATACAAAGGTGGGCGAACAGTTTAAAGAGGTGAACTGGACAGTTCTCTACACGTCTTATTTCACACACGGCCCAGCAAAATCTAAGGCAGGCCCTGACTAGGATTCCTGCATTACAAGGTGGAGACAACGCAGTAGCCAGAATCGTAGCGTGAAGGGCACAACATAGCAGCCCCTCCTGTCTCTTATAGTTAATTTGGTTCACGGTATTTGCACTGTGCAGAAAGAATGATTTTCCAAACAGGAGCTATCAACCTTCCAAAATTGCTCTTGTCCTGGCAACAAAGCAAAGGTCTAATTCCTGCAGGAACGCGATCAAACCATTGTTCCGAGCAATCTGAAACACAAG